CTCATTTGATTAGAACTCATTTGATTAGAACTCATTTGATTAGAGCTCATTTGATTAGGGAATGAAAATATTCTTGCCATTGCACGAAGAAACATTCATTATTTGTTTTATATAATACCAAAATGAGAAGCATTTTGAGGGATGCGATTTATCGAAAACACAAAGAGTGCAATTGTACTATACGTTTTATTCAGATCAGAATTCAATAAGGTATTATATATTATATAATACCTTATTAAATTCTAATAATTTAATTGGCTGTTCATGGTCACGTGATATTGAATAGAAAATTCCATTTCCCAAGAGTGCAATGGAACACGTAACGTATAGTACAATTGCACTCTTTGTGTTTTCGATAAATCGCATCCCTCAAAATGCTTCTCATACGAATCTATTAGTCTATTTTGGTATTATATAAAACAAATAATGAATGTTTCTTCGTGCAATGGCAAGAATATTTTCATTCGATCTTTCACCTCATGAAAATATTCTTACCATTGCACTCATAAACATTCATTATTTGTATAATATCACACATCGCTAGCAAGTTTGGTACAGGTACAGCAAGTTCACATTCACTGCTTTTTTGAAAAACATAATATGAGCGGCCCCTTTTCATTTGATTTGGCCAAAAGATTCCCATGAACACACGCCAAAAAATACACCTAGAGGAGATAAAAATGTTCTAATTTGTCAAAATATCAAAAACACTGTCACTGCAGAGTGTACAGTCGTAACTTACTTTGAAACGACAACCCAAAACGGCGATAGTATTCGAAATTTTTTGAAAAACCTCTAAACGATCTCCCTTTCTCACAAAACTTGAATATAAGGCCAGTATTTATACAAAGTATCTCTTTGCTTCGCTCCTGACCTCGTGTTAAAATGCTATAAAGCTTGCTGATCAAAATATTTTTAAACGCCATACTTGGTACGTCGTTCGCAGTCGCTGAACAAAGTATTCGGCAGTCATCGATTTGCTATTGTGAACTCCTGGGGTATGATAATGCTCCAATGTAAATTCCTTACTGCTACGTCATAATTTGACGTCACAACTGCTGACAAAGATGTGAACGACACAAAATCGAGATACGCTTCAACTTTATAAAACTGTTGGCGGGAAATTCAAATCGCTTTATATTTAGTATTAGGGACCTATAAACACCTGTTCGCAGGCTAAAAACACATGTAACATGTTCGAAAGATAGGGTTCCAAGCGGTGAGCGAGTGAGCATTTGTGTAAAGTTTTAGATTAAATATATTGTCAAAATATACCGGTGAACGTGAGTATTTAGGAGGCGTATCGGTCCAAGTCCATACGTTTTCGACACAGTGGCGACCCACGGCAGAAAATTCATGGGAACGCCCCAAGATTGGGTACGATTTTGGGGGCTATTTGAATCCCAAATTGACAAATCAGCTGCAGATGATGTGACCAAATTTTCCTATTTGAAGGAACTAGTAGATGTAAAGGTTCGAAAACTTATCGATGGACTACCCGAGGGGTATGCTAGAGCTAGAGATATTTGAAGAAACGATATGGACAGACGAGCGAGGTTGTAAGTGCTTATGTCCGGGCCATTCTGGAATTGCCTACCATCAAAGAGAGAGACGTTTCCAAAATTCACTCCTTTTATGAGACCCTGTTGTTTGTTTATGAGACCCTGTTGAATCGTTACAAACCCTCGAAAGCCTTGAGAAACTGGATGCTGCAGTGAGATTTACATTCGATAAGCTAGATGTGAACAATCAGAACTTGCAATGACTAACGAGAAATGGAGTGAGTGGACCTTTATGGAATTTGTACATGCCCTAGAACTTTGGACAAAGAACAATCCAATTAAAGAAACACCTGGTTCAAAACATCATAAGGAGCGAGACAGATCTTACTTCTCCAAGAATAACGATAATAACAATAAGGGCTGTTTATACTGTTCAAATGAGAGTCATAAAGCTATCCGTTGTACTCTCATGTCACCTGGTGAAGATGGAAAGGAAACGTTTGGCTATCTAGCTGTGAATTCAATCTCAGATTATGATAACTTGTGTGCCCTCGACGTGCTGGGTTTGGCGGATAGTGTAGGTGCTGATGGTGATGTATTTGACGAATTCAAAGAGCAGCTGACAAGATCCAAGGAGGGTTGGTACGAAACGTCATTTCCATGGAAACCTGGTCATCAACCCCTGTTATCAACCCTGTTGAATGGAGTCATCGCGAGACATTTAGAGTTGATTGAGCCTCGTTTCCCAGAAACTGTAGCTGAGAAATACGTAAGAGTTTGTACGTGGATGATTTAATCTCCGGAGCATCTACTACTGATGAAGCAACCGAGCTTAAACAAGACGCGATCGACATCTTCGATGATGCCAGATTACGATTGCATTAGTGGCATTCGAACGCCCCAGAACTTGAGTCGGACATGAGTGACAGTTCGATTACATTTGCTAAGCAACAGTTAGGTGCCAATCCAAAAGAAAACGAGTGCAAGCTATTGGTGAAGTGGAACAAGATTCTCAACAACGAGCAGTAAATGATCTGAAGTTCGCAGAAGACAAAGAGCAGTTACAACTAGAGACGAACGAAGATGGCATTTTGCAATGTCACGGCCGTATCCAAGGGGAATACTGAGAAAGTTAGCCAAGAAAGTGATTTCGAGTTGTTATTCTATTACCGAAGTGTAGAACCGAGCACCTACTACAATTTATTCGGACAATGGTTCGACATTTATAGCAGCTTCTAAGTGGTTGAAATGTATTCGAAAAGATGAAGAGCTCAACAATGAGAGGCTGATTGGGTTGATGAAGGGAATTTTCTACAAAACCGTTGGGAGCGGGTTACTAACCTGGGATGAGCTAACTGAAGTCCTACTCGATGTTGAAATTGCGATGAACAATAGACCTCTTAATTACATGGAAGAGGATGTTCAACTGCCTACTCTTAATCGTGGAAAGATTGATCGAAGGTAAAGACGGTGTAATTCGCGGATACGTCTCAGAAGCGGTCGAGATCGATTAGAACGAGCTCCACAAATCGTTCTAGAAATGCGAAGGTCGCGGGTTCGAATCCCAGCCGCGGTCAAGTAGAATTTTCTGCTTGCCCGGTTTGGTAAACACTCGTCTGAAAACAACTCATAAACCGCTACATAACGTAACACGAGTGGAATCGTCAACGTGGGAAACTATATATATATATATATATATATATATATATATAGGTTAATCTAGACGAAAAGCCATAAAGGTATATAAGTTAATCAACTCAACACATAACCTTTCGACTCTATTGTCTTCATCAAATATAATCCTACTTTACAGGCGAACCCAATTTATACCCTCCCAATTTTGCTAATTATGCATAATATGAATATAAGTAATTTACCATACAAATAACAATATCCTGTTAACTATAGCTACGCATTCTCTATGTTCAATCCTTCGGGATAGGATGATTTTGCTGAACTGAAAATGAATAGCCGAATCTCGAGAATCTCGTCTTGATATAAAACGGGTTTTCCGTCTCAACTTTTCCGTCTAACTTTCCCGTCTGAACGACGGGAAAGTTAGACGAGTTTCTCGTCTTAGACGGAAATCCGTCTTAAATCCGTCTTATATCAGACGAATAAATCAAGACGGGTTTCTGCTCGTAACGTTCAAAAGAGACTGGGATGGAGGGTCTCCTATTTTTTTTTAGTTTATCCGTCCGATGGTTTTCGTTTATTACTTATACCAGACGGAAATCCGTCACATGAGTTTCTCATCTTAGACGGAAATCCGTCTTCTAATATGAATTCGCTAATTATATAAGATTCTGTGATTGCTTGAGAAGTGTAGAAAAGAAGCCGAAGTTGCGGAAAACATATTTGATTGCGCTAGTTGGGAAATGATATGGTTGCGATCAGTAGAAAGGGTGTTGTAGCTGAGCATCGAAAATTTTATATTAACCTTTTACTTGTTGAGAAGTAAATCGTCGATTTACCCAACCATTGCAGGTAAGACCGGTCGGTGGCCGAATTTTGAAGTTTTTCAGAGTGCCTTGAAGAAGAACGCTAAATCGGTTAGTTCTCATTCATAACAAAGGGGAAGTAAGTTGCATGAGGGTTGTTAATCGCTGTTTATAGGTAATCTCTCCTCGCTTCGATTTCAGTATCAAAGCATGAAGTAGCTCTTCTAGCATCTTGTTCCCTTTTGCGGTGATGGTGAAATATGGTCATTCCATGAAAGGTTGCTATTAACCCAAACACCAAGATCTTTCTCTTTCTCTACACGCGATACTGCTTTCGAGTTCATTTGGTAGGCATACGTCAACGGAGACTTTTTTCTTGTGATTGTCAGCTTACACTTGGATGAGTTGAAATCAAGATTGTTGTCACGGCCCGGATGCAGCACTCAAGATTGGTTTGTGCTTGTTGTACTTTTTCACAATCAGTTATCGATCTAATCGAATTGTACACTTTGGTGTCGTCTGCATACAGGGCTGCCATTTTCTCGCCGGGTAAGATGTCAGGAAGGTTATTAATAAAGATCACAAAGAGAACAGGTCCAAGGACGACGTGCCTGCGAATATTGATGAATTTTAGAGTAAACAGCCGAGTGGAATTATAGTATACCTCGCCCCGGGCTTGGCGTCGTTGGCTTGGAGATAAATTATTACTTTTTATATCACATAGAAGATCTTTCGATGTCAAGTCATAATTCTTATTAACTAGAAATATACATGCATGCAAAACCCCTCCCCTATATTCTTCAAACATTGTTTCAACATGAACTAACATGAAGTATTCGTAATTACGCCAACACTGAATGCAGGTTCGCGTTGCTCACGTCATGTAAGTCTATTATAGTGAACTGGTCTAGTGTATACCCACTTTTTCGTGCGCAGGCTCGGCAAGTTATTATAGATGCATGATTTAACTGCTCGCGGAACTTGCCGAGCACGCGCAGTTGATCATTTTTTGCTCGATCGCCTGAAAAAAAGTGGGTACATGAAAACGTAAGCTTCCGCAGTGTTTTCAATGGTCAGTTACAGCTTTGTATATGTATTTAGATTTTACTCTGTGGTCATGGCAACACGAATACACGATAGTTGTTTTTTTATTTTTTCGGTACAAACCTGCAAAAAATAGATGAAACTTGAACACTTTTAAATACAGAACTATCAATTTCTAAAACATATAAAGTAGGTATATTATTTTGGTTTCTATATGGGCTTTATTTTAATGTAAAATTCGAAACGAAACTCTACGTATTAAAAACTTTTTAAATGTGATTTGAAATTATATTACTCGCACTTTGAAATTAAATAAATTTAATTAATTCGTACAGATACACCATGAACCGCGCCCGCGATATTTGATGAACTTTAGACTTCGTTAGTGCGTTCCTTTCCCCGGGTGTAAATAGCCGGGCGGAATTAGTACCCTCGCCCCGGGCTTACGCCCGGAACGTCGCTCCGCGCCGTTGGCTCGGGGATAAACAAATCAGGAATAACTATATGAATTCGATATATTTATCATACCATGATCACATTAATGAATAATATACATCTATTAATACATCAAATAAATGTACTCCTCCCTGTTCCAACTCAGCAATTTTGATACGCAAAAATGTAATTGTGATTAAATTATAAATGAAACTCATAATTTGTCTTTAATTTTGGTTATATAGTTACAAAAAAGAAAAATGTGAGGGTGAAATTTACCATTACAGAATAAAGAAAACGCCAGAAGGAAGATTGCTCCTAAAGGTAACTACATTTAGAAATTTGGTGTTCACTCTAACTACAATCAGTTTCAAAAGTCTTGGGACAGATGCCACAAAACCTTTGAATTTCAACAAAACGTCAATCCCCCCCCTGTTCAATGTTGTGTCCCATTTCTCGTCAGGTTTGATGTGTTTTGGTTGGAGCAACATTGATTGGGGTGGGGGAGGGGGAGGGGAGCGGTATTGTGTGTAAAAAACTGTAATGATCCACTTACAATCTAAAACTACATGTGTCCCAAGAACTTCTGAAAGTGATTGTCTGGGCCCCATATGCCATAACACCATTGTATATCTCAAAAGTACAGGGGATAAAATGCTCTGCGAACGAAGTATTTCTGCTCCATTTCGTTCACAGAACATCTAATATAACATTTTAAAACAATTAAGTCCATTAAAATTCTCAAAGTTAATAATTAACAGGATATGAATATAACTTGTTATGTCATATAGCATTCTTAAGCGTTGTTTGTTTTTACAAATTTTGGCACAGCACAAGCGGGTTATTTGAGAGGTTATATAGTCCGTCAACATAAAGATAGGTATCGCGAATGTTTTACGCTAGATATGTCACACTTACTGTTAATTTATAACATAGTAATATAACATCCGGTTACTTTCGCATGCGGGTTACGGCTGAGTCAACTGCTAATTCAGGTACTCCGAAGGTAAAGAACGTTTGCTTTATAATCACTTATAGTCAATCTGACATTTCACATCTTTCTAGAGCACAATTTGCAGATATAATTGTCGACGCATGGGTAGGAAAGAGCACTAAGTAGGTGGGAATGTCGGAGGCTCGTGGAATGGGCGGTAGTCACTTCCACACGGTAAAAAAAATTGTCCACAAGATCGACGTGACGAGCTATCGGAAAGCTCGAGAAGAGTAAATGTGGCATTTAATTGAATTTTCCGCAGACAATCTCAAAAATTACTATTCAGCGTCTTCGTACGTGGTAAAGGAAGTCCCGGACTTGGTGATTTCTCCAGGCCTTATAGACCTCCCCAATGCTGACGCGTTAGCGAGTACTAGCGCGACCCGCCGAAGCAAGAAATTTGCACAGGATTCCAAAAATATGTAACGAAAGGGGCTCGCAGTATACGGCGTTGTACGCATTATACAACAATGACGTTAGTGTTATACGCTAATTATGCTAATAAGCGTTTCCGGACGAGACGAATGCAATGAAACTAACATCGGTTGACACTTCGATTGTCACTATAGAAATATGAAATAACAGGCAACTAGACATCTTTTAAAACAGAACAAGACTAAGAATAATCTGTTGAGAATGTCTAACAATGTATTTGCTATTAATGAAAGGGTTTGGAATTGATTAAACCAAATTTTGGATCGATTGACACTTTTTTACATAAATAAATCTGATATATCATAGTGATATTTCTAGAGTTGAGTGTCAATCGATACATTTTATACAATTTATATACTTTGTGATTAAGTAGAACCCGTAATATATCAATATGCGCTCCCTAAACACGTTTGCTTAGTACTTAATGTTCTGAAAATGATTATGCCGCGACAATTGAAAGTTATATCAATGAAAATGCTATGTGTTTCAAAGTGACAACCGAGCACGTGTTCAAGCCGCTTTATATTACATACATGTTTTCATGTCAATATGCACAATCTTTAAGTGGTCTTCGATAACTTACCCTTGCATTTTATTTAGCATTAACCTAGGTCGATAATTAACCAGTAGATGTGTTTTCTCCCTTGCATATAGACCAGTTTAATCGCTCGTTATACTACCCTCCCCACACTCACATCCTTCAGTATAAGTTCATTTATAATACACTGCTGGATTGTGTTACATTTCGAAGATATTGACCACAACCGAAGCACAGTAAGGACGTTACATATGCCAATGCAATTCAGTAAACATGTTATACTAAATGCTATATGATTTTCGCAAAACTGATATTCTAAAACACCCGGTAATTCAAAGAGGTTAAATATGCCTTTCATTGCCATTCAGACAATCAGTTTCAAAAGTCTTGGGACAGATGCCACAAAACCTTTGAATTTCAACAAAACGTCAATCCCCCCCCCTGTTCAATGTTGTGTCCCATTTCTCGTCAGGTTTGATGTGTTTTGGTTGGAGCAACATTTTTGGCGAAGTAACAATAGTCTAGAAAGCCTGGTTTCTATCATTTCGTATGGCTGTTAACGTGTCATAACAGTGTCACAAATCTCGCAGAAATAAACTTGAAATCCACTTACAATCTAAAACTACATGTGTCCCAAGAACTTCTGAAAGTGATTGTATATAATTATGGCCAACGGCGAAGCAATTCAGACAATGTCAGAAAAACAGGCTCATATATTCGTAATACAGAACTAATTATATATAGTAAATAAATTATATTATCCCTGAACAATTGCAGCAGAAATTCCTTTTCACCAGGCCCCCTACAATACTGGTGAAACGACTAATCATCCGGCCCCCGACACTACTGGTGAAACGATTAAAACGTCTAAATGAAGCAAAAATCCAACGTCACCAAATACGAGCAGCAACAAAAGGCCAGCGAACAATTCTCGGCCAAAGTAAGTTCCTTCAGGTTCCCTTGTAATTGGCAGAGAAAAGCTAGAACGACCAAAGTTGGGAACTATTCAACATACGTATAAAATGGCTACAATACCAGTTAGATATGCGTTATGCCTGTATACCCATGAGGAAAACCTTGAGTAATTCAAACACACCGGGGTACCGATCGCGAACCTGCTACAAAAAGGTTCCTTACCCTCTTTGTTCCTTTCAACATAAGATCACTCGTTAATAAAATAGAGGATCTGGAAGTTGACGTGGATATACAGTAGTTTGTATTCAGAAACTAACCAATATACAATTACTTTATGGTTTCCGTGTTTGGATGGCCTGATATACCAAAATACCACATTTCCGATCTCCGCGCGCTTTTCTTAACTCGAGCAACATTCCCAAGTGTTTGGATCAGGCCATCCAAACACGGAAACCATAAAGTAATTGTTTTATAAAATAACAACTTTCCGTATTAAAATTTCACTTTAAAAAACTTTCACTTTAAATTTCCGTGTTTGGATGGCCTGATCCAAACACGGGTTTCGACCAATCAGAGCACGCGTTATATACATGTTATTTTATAATAATATTTCCAACTCAATAGTCAACCATAAATTATAGTGATTACACGTTAGTACGGAAAGATCGAAGCGCTGATAAACGTGGTGGTAATATTTGTACGTATATCAAATCATCTATTGATTTCACAACAATTAACGAACTTAATTATTCCAAACAATGTCCAAAGACCCTGCTGCTACAAAAAATTGAGAAATAAAGTTAACAGGCTAAATAACAGTCTTAGGAATTCCTTTTGCAAATAATTGAAAAAATCGTGATTGTAAAAAACTTGCTCACTACTAATTATGTGATGCTCTTTCAAGCTGTGATGAATTTTTTGTCTAGACTTGTTTAGATCAAAATTTATATTAGTCTATAATGCAAATAGTCCATTGTGAACTTGTCAAGTTCTTGAACCTCGTATGTCTCCGTTTCTTCGCAGATATGATGTTTCTTAATGCTGCGCATTTCTTAATTACTCCAACCCATAAATTTGTATTTTTTCCAGTGCTGGAGTTTTCACTAGAATTTTTTAATTCTTCAATAACATCATTATTTGTATTGCTATTTAAAACAGGAAACTTCCCGCGCTTGCGTCTCAGCCAATTGCAAAGAAAAAATGCCCTCATCATTATAGCCAATCATATTTGAGTAATTTTGCCCTCTATGTGATTAGGCATGAAAGACAAACTCCTACATGTTTTTATTATTATTATTATTATTATTTAATCTATTTACACACATATACAACGGTAGCCCTTCAGCAAGTTTATCTACAGTTCCTTGTAGCTGATTTTCAAGGGGCCGTTGATTAATAATAAGGGAAGAAAATAATGAAAATATACATATATATATATATATATATATATATATATATATATATATATATATATATATATATATATATATATAATATACACACGAATAATCCCCCCCCCTTCCTTCACTCTGTCCTCCCACCCACCCTTATAATAAAACATTAAAAACTTTAACAATCTACGTTTGTCTGTCTCGGAGCAGCGCTTTAAATCTTGTTAATGTTATACCATTATCTTTAAGTTCTGTTGGCAGTTCATTCCAAATCTTTACTCCTGAGTAGCCGATACTTTTTTTAAGAAAATTAGTTTTAGGCTTTTTTATCGAAAAGTCACAATCGTTATTGCGTAAATTATAATTTTCATTATTTTTCACATTAAAGATATCAGTAATTGTTGTCAGGTATTTGCCATTTTTGGCTTTGTACATAAAAACTGCCTTATTCTCTCTCCAATTTTCTATCAGTGGCTGCCAGCCTAAGTCCTGTAAAATAGTCTCGGACCTAACTTCGTACGACAACAATTAATTAATTATCAATTATTAATTGATATATTTAATTGATTTATCAATTGTCAATTATGACGAGGTTGACCAAAATGATGCAGAGCAAATAATTAATTGTTTATCAATGAGAGTAAAGGGTCGAATTAACTATGTTCCGTGGATGAATTCTACAATTCTACACAACATCAAGTCCACACAAAAACTCTCTCCGCCTCAGAATTAAGAAATCCCATACACCAACTGAATATCTCGTGGAAAAGTTCAAAACCCTTCGTAGTTCCATCAAGCGCATGTTACGTAACAGTCGCTCCAAATATTTCGACTCTATTTGTTCCAGCCGTGGTAAGACCCGGAACATTCCTCAAAAGCTCTCGGTGAAAGTAACTGAAACCAAAAGAACATTCGCAGGAAATCCAGCAGATATTGCTGCCCTCTTCAACAACTACTTCACATCTATATTTACCACTGATCCAAATATCGAAAACTGCAGCCCTGTATAAAATTACTTTATGGTTTCCCTGTTAGGATGATCTGATCCAAACACTTGGGAATGTTGCTCGAGTTAAGAAAAGCGCGCAAAATCACTCGCCTTCGGCTCGTGTTCGCGCGCTTTTCTTAACTCTCGCAACATTCCCGCGTGTTTGGATCAGGCCATCCAAACACGGAAACCATAAAGTAATTGTATATTAAATTGGGCTTCGTACAACGCAATTGTATCGGCCGTTTAACTATCTGCCGGATAGGAAAGTTATACGTATATAAATATAAATCTATACACTCGTGAGAAAATAAATACACCTATACCTTTACATACAGCATTCGCTGGATTAATAGCTGGCCCCAGGAATGGAAGAAAGAAATTCTGATATGTCATTGACATCACAAATAAGTAACATCGTTCCCAACTTGACCTTATTACTCAGACAAATGGTAGACCGTTGTTCTAGAAATGCGAAGGTTCGAATCGGTGCTGCCTACAAGCTATTATCATGCTGTCTACAAGCTATTATCCCTATATAAACACAAACTATATCTCTTTGCATGATCCGCCCGTACAAAAAATCCCATGTTTTATAGTATCAGTAATTCACCAGTGTAGCTGAAAAATATCATTTTATCATGAGCTCAGAATAACTTTTGTTATAGACTTTAATATAGTATATAGGATCATACTTGTTTACTATTTCAAATGCCATACAGTCCGGCTACTCTACTTGCTATCTATAATCATCTGAGAACGAACTTGATTTTTTACTTGAGATTCTATTAATACAATTAGATTACTCGCACTGGATTTCTATGAGGTGATAGTTGATCCGGGATTGGCCCTCATCAACTATATCATGACCTCATATAGAAATCGAGAGCAAGCAATCTTAATTCTAACTATAATATATAGCATCAATACTTCCAACTATTCGTACTATAATGTAGCTTTGTCGTTATAATTATACATGTAGTATTTCCGCTATGTGATGTGGAAGCACCGCAAGATGGCGGATGCAACTTTTTAAGCTAAAAAATATACAACTTTTGAGCGGATATTTTTGGTGTTTTTAATGCAAATAATTCAAGTTTTCAAACTGTTTTATCTTCCTGAGATATTGGTTCATCATAATTTCTGAAATAAGACGGTAAATTTTATTATTCGCGAAGAAAACGTTAATTCTATTGCCGTCTTGTTAATATGGCTAATTTGTCGGCAATCATATCGAATGGCAATGTTTATCGAGTAACTATGGAATGTTCAAATAGTAGAACAAGAATGGTTATTATCTACAGACCACCATCCTCGAAGACCAATCAACTAACTAATTCTCAATTTTTTGACGAATTTTGCAACCTTATGGAGCAGCTAATAATTCTACCAGGCAATTTGTTAATAGCCGGTGACTTCAATTACCATGTGGACAACAGTACTAACCCGGATACCATAAAATTCAATAAAATATTGGAATCGTTCAATCTACAACAACACGTGAATGGGCCAACTCACAAGAAGGGTCACACCCTAGATTTAATAATAACAAGAATTGGCGATCGACTGGTGACTAACATTGAAATACACGACCCCATGTTTTCAGATCATTCAGCTGTAAGCTGTATGTTACAGCTTGAGAAACCACCACTGGAACGTGCAGAAATCCAGTATCGCAAGCTGCGGAATATAAACATGGATAGTTTTAACGAAGACCTAGGAAAGTCGAACTTCAGTAGTGACAGTGAGCTACCAACTATTATCGATCAGTACGAAAAGACTTTGGAAGAAACTTTACAGAAACATGCGCCTTTAAAACGAAGAACTATTACTCTCCGGCCATCAGCACCATGGTATAACGAGGAAATTGGTAAAGCCAAAAGACACCGTAGAAGACTCGAGCGTCGTTGGCGAGCATCTAGACTGTGCATTGACAAAGAGATATATATTAAACAATGTCAGATAGTGAATGATATGATCAAGGAAGCGAAGACAACATATTACTCCTCCGCCATTTCTAATAATAAATATAATCAGAAAGTATTGTTTGATACAGTTGACAAACTACTTCACAGAAAACCAGAGAAATGTTATCCAACTACATCATCAAAAACTGAGCTAGTTAATAATTTTGGGGACTTCTTTAGTAACAAGATAGCAGTTTTACGTAGTGATTTGGCCAATATATCCACCTATGACAATCAGTTGAGACCAGCGGAACTGTTGACACAATGCGTTGAGTTTAGAGTCTTTCAAACGGTAACGGAGCAAGAAGTCGAAAATATTGTTGACGCGAATGGCAAAAAATCCTGTGAACTCGACCCTATACCTGCAACAATTCTTAAAGGCTGTAAAAAGACTCTACTACCTACGTTTACTAACATCATCAACAAGTCACTCGAAACTGGATGCATGCCTGTACAACTCAAAGAGGCTATGTTAAAACCTAAGCTGAAGAAAAGCAATTTGGAGTTCGAAGAATACTCAAACTTCAGACCAATTTCAAATCTTAAATTTCTATCTAAGATAATCGAGAAAGCTGTTGCTACTCAACTCATGGAACATTTAGTCAATAATAACTTAGAAGAACCTCTCCAATCAGCATATAAACGCTTCCACAGTACCGAAACGGCCCTGCTTAAAGTTCAGAATGACATTCTTATCGCTATTGACAATCAGAAATGTGTAGTTTTGCTGTTGTTGGACATGTCAGCCGCGTTCGACACAGTTGACCATGAAATCCTATTGGAACGAATGTCAAAACGGTTTGGAATTAAAGACAAGGTGCTAGAATGGTTTCAGTCCTACCTTCAAAACAGGTCACAAACTGTGATGATTGATGGTGTTAAATCTGCTACTAAAGATGTAAATTGGGGAGTTCCGCAAGGCTCAGTTCTGGGCCCTATTTTGTACCTGTTATACACCTCGCCCATTGGAGATATTATTAGACGTCATGAACTTGACTTTCATTTCTATGCTGATGATTCACAACTATATCTTGCTTTTGAGCCAACTACAGATGAACAACCGGGTGCACTTGTGCGAATAGAAACATGCGTTAGAGAGATCGACTCGTGGATGGTTAGTAATAAATTGAAGCTAAATGGAGACAAGACAGAGTTGTTAGTAATAAATGCACGCCATCGCCCATGCCCGCTTATAGATCATATAGATATATCCAATTTTAAAATCCAACCATCTGATACAGCTAGTAACATTGGCGTAACATTCGACCGACATATGTCTCTAGATCAACATGTGACTAATATCTGCAAGACATGTTTCTTTCATTTGCGTAAAATAGCAAAGATAAGAGCTTATCTATCTACAGCAGACACTGAAACTCTGGTCCACTCATTTATTACCTCTAAACTGGATAGCTGTAATTCTCTGCTATATGGGTTGCCAAAACTCATGATTGATCGATTACAAAATGTGCAGAACAGTGCAGCGCGTTTGATAGCAAGACGTAGAAAATTTGATCATATCACCCCTGTTATGAAAGAACTGCACTGGCTTCCCGTAAGCCAACGTATCATTTACAAGATACTTCTCATCACCTACAAAGCTCTAAATGGTCTTGCACCAAGCTACATTAGGGATATGCTACAACCACACAAATCAACAATGAATCTACGTTCATCGATGAAAGGACTACTCTCAATACCCCCCATAAAGTTGGTCAACTATGGTCAAAGATCATTTTCATATGCAGCACCAAAACTATGGAATGAACTTCCAGACTCAGTACGACATAGTGAATCAATATCTATTTTTAAAACAAAATTGAAAACATATCTATTTAAAAATTTTTATAAGTAATTGACACTAGTTTTACCAATTTTAACTATTGCTAGTTGTATCTATCTAACTGAATTTTTATCTTATTCACTTCTTATATTGACTTTTATATAGTAATTGTAAATAAACTTAAATTTTTAAATGGATTGATGTAAATATATTAAAATTTTAAATTTCTAAAACTGTAAAGCGCCATTGAGTATAGGAAATGGCGCTTTTATAAATATGTATATGAGCTTCAAACAATGGCATATGGCCTCGCATGGGACTTCGGTCCCGTTTGCACTTGTGCCGTTTGGTATGTCTTGTTTTACTGTCCAATAAAGTTTACAATATAATATAATATAATATAATATAATATAATATAATATAATATAATATAATATAATATAATATAATATAATATAATTAATGTAATGTAATGTAATGTAATGTAATGTAATGTAATGTAATGTAATGTAATGGTAATATAAGCGAGCTTTAAAAAGATTCACATTTGGCAGACATAAACTTTCTTCAGAAGAAAGACAACCTTATCTTATTACTTAGAAAATGTTTTAGCAGAGTTGTACAGATTAATTGAGAACAGTAAAAAGCAGTCAAAGTGGAATAAAAGCGGAATAAAGAATATATCCATCCGTCAACCGAAATTCTCCTGAAGGAGAACAAAATCGAATACAAAACCTGAAAATAACGTGGACAATACAGAAATGAATGATGGCTCAAAGGAGCGGTTAAAATTAGAAACCAAAACGGGATAAAACTCTTAAGTGGATAATATATTTATACAGACAAGAATTATTAACTTTGTAGTACGAAATAAATGTGCTCTAAAAATGAAATAATGTGCTTTTGCCTATTTTATACCCGCGCTCTGTGTCTACGCTTATAACAGCCCGGTATTATCCTTCAATATCCCTATTATGATGTACATTGAATCCCTCTGTTGTATCACACACGTGGGAGCGATGCTAAGGAGGTATGTAATGTGGAGTATGTTAATTAATGTGGAGGTATATTAATTAATGTAGAGGTATGTTAATTAATGTGGAGGTATGTTAATTAATGTGGAGGTATGTTCATAATTAATGTGGAGATATGTTAATTAATGTGGAGATATGTTAATTACCTCCACACTCCTCCACCGGAAAATCCGGCCCCAAAACCACCTACTTACTACTAACATCGTCAGGAAAATAGGGCCGGCTCACAATGTTTTAGCTAAGTCGTTGAGAGCCAGTTGCTGGGGTTCATCTTGTGGGATCATGTGGTCATTCATGGCTACATCATATACAAATATTAAATGTAAACAGTTAGTAGTAAATATACTCTATTTAATATTTTCAAGGGGCATGTACGGTACATAATTGCAACGGCCAATATCCACTCGCCAGGATGAACATTTCGAAGTCTTCGAGTCAATTTTTCCAACGAATTGCCAAACTTGCGCCCAGTTCTGAGTCCAGATTGAACATTTGAACTCTGGTACTGGCTGTATCGATACAGACGGGTATGAATATTTATAGACGGTTGTGCACTCTGTTCTGCATCTACCATTCTCGTCGCCAATATAATAACACAATAATTTCTATACGCTTCGAATAATATATCACAGTCTTAAATGTAAACCCTTAGAACCTTAGACGTCAACTACTATCAATTGCAGATTGTTCCCAAGCCTTTGTAGCATGGCTATCAAGTTACTTGGCTGCTAACAAAACAATTAATATTAACTATATTGACTATACTACAGTGACCATGATGTGTACGTGTTATCTTTTTAATTTCATGAAATTAATTCTGGTAAATCAATTCTTCTTTATATTTCCCTAAAGCAACAATGATATAGAAACGACTTTTCCAATATAGCCGAGCGGAATTAGTATCCTCCCCCGGGATTACGCCCGGAACGGCGCTTCGCGGCGTTAGTTCGCGGATTATGGTTGATATTTATTAAAAAGAAACGGATTTTAAAACAATTTTAACTAAAAAATAATTTTTAAAATGAATAATGCTTAAAATTGCTCTAAACTTACACGGCACTCAAGATGTCTGAAGTGTTACCAGATGTTTCCTACACGCAACGGGCAGTTTTGAAAAGAATAACAGGGAACAATGATGAATTCGACGAACTCAACATCTTGCCGTTCTTGCCCATGGCCAAGAAATGAGAATGTTCACCATGTTATCTTAGTAGCACTTGCCCTTAGTTCCATCTTCTTATTTGTTGGTGTGTTGGGAAACATTGCAGTTATTATTTATAACATTTTTCTGAACCACGACAAGCCGAGCAGCTGGTTGGTTACACACCTTGCTTTCGCTGATCTTCTCGTTTGTTTAATAATTTATCCCAAACGAATGTTTCGGTTCTTTCATGCAGTACGGAGAGACGAAGACTTAGTGTTTTGCAAGGTAACGCAAACCACATTTTATGTTTCTTTATTCCTTTCCATAATGATTCTACTATCCATCACAATTGATAAATATCTGTATATAGCGAAGCCACTAAAGTATCCACTTATCGTGAGAACACGAAGAACGAGAAGATGAGGAGAAGAATGTGTTTTACCACCATCCGTCGTATGGTTACAGGTCATCCTACAGTTAGCCGCCATTTGTGTCATGACAATCCTAATCAAAAATATCATGATCATAGAACACGTTTGTATAGAAGGTACTGACTAGACTTAGTTCCAAAATACAACACATGCATGCACTCGAACAATCCTGGCATTGTAGCTCCGTTGGCAGAGCTGATTGGAACTCTAACATCAAAAACACTATTGTTACTGCTATTGTATAACCTAAAACAAAGCATTGTTTACAAAATAAAATGTAAAAAAAACACGTTATAGCAGGTGCCATAAACAGATTTATAAACAAAATGGCCTCCATATTGGCATTTGATTAGAGCTCATTTGATTAGAGCTCATTTGATTAGAGCTCATTTGATTAGAGCTCATTTGATTAGAACTCATTTGATTAGAGCTCATTTGATTAGAGCTCATTTGATTAGAGCTCATTTGATTAGAGCTCATTTGATTAGAACTCATTTGATCAGAGCTCATTTGATTAGAGCTCATTTGATTAGAGCTCATTTGATTAGAACTCATTTGATTAGAGCTCATTTGATTAGAGCTCATTTGATTAGAGCTCATTTGATTAGAGCTCATTTGATTAGAGCTCATTTGATTAGAGCTCATTTGATTAGAGCTCATTTGATTAGAACTCATTTGATTAGAGCTCATTTGATTAGAGCTCATTTGATTAGAGCTCATTTGATTAGAGCTCATTTGATTAGAACTCATTTGATTAGAGCTCATTTGATTAGAGCTCATTTGATTAGAACTCATTTGATTAGAGCTCATTTGATTAGAGCTCATTTGATTAGAACTCATTTGATTAGAACTCATTTGATTAGAGCTCATTTGATTAGAACTCATTTGATTAGAACTCATTTGATTAGAACTCATTTGATTAGAGCTCATTTGATTAGAGCTCATTTGATTAGAGCTCATTTGATTAGAGCTCATTTGATTAGAGCTCATTTGATTAGAGCGCTGCACCAGAATCTCAGGTTCGATTCCTGCCAGAGTGTCTATAGTTGTATTTGTCGTACCTGCTGCTGCTTAGGTCTAATAAATGTATAAAATTCACACTAGAAATTTCCATCTGCAAAACCCTTGTACAATTGGCAATATTTTCAAAATAGCATAGCTGAATAACCTCTGGCCTTCAAATATACCCTTAGAACCACCAGTTACGTGAAGTTAATCAGTTATATTTATGTAATTACTGCAAAGTTTGAAATAGTTTTCGTGAAAAATATGTACCTATATATCTATATCTATCTATATATATATATATATATATATATATATATATATATATATATATATATATATATATATATATATATATATATATATAT